TCACAAAGCAGGGAAGATCGAATCACTGACTCAGAATCCGAAGAAGACTACGAAGAGGAAGAACAGGAAGAAGAGCAATACGACGACGCTTTAAGCGATCACCAAAACGCCCAATCTTCATCTTCAACCTCTTCAGGTACTAGCAAAGGCCTCGATGATATCGATGCTAAGCTCAAATCCCTAAGACTGAAATACAATTCTCCTCAACAATCGAGCCCCAATCTCAAAAACCCGGTGAAGCTTTACCATCACATAGGTGGAAACACTCCCAAAGCCAAATGGGTAATCTCTGAAAAACTCACTTATTATCGTTTCACTAAGATAAGCGATGATGGTGATGATGTGTCCTGTTGGTTTTTGGAAGTCGGTTCAAAAGTTAAGGCTAAGGTTTCGACCGAAATGCAATTGAAAATGTTTGGGGATAAAAAACGAGTCGATTTTGTTGATAAAGCTGTTTGGGCTTTGAAGTTTTTATCGGATGAAGAGTATAGGAATTTCGTTACCCAATTTCAGAATTGTTTGTTTGAGAATGTTTATGATATGGAAGCTACGGAAGAGAATAAGGTTAAGGTCTATGGGAAGGAGTTTATTGGATGGATGAAGCCGGAGGCAGCTGATGATTCTGTGTGGGAAGATGCAGAAGATCATAGCTCGGATTCAACTCCGGTTAAAAGGAGTCAAGAATTGATGGAGGAGTTTGAGGAAGCTGCTAATGGAGGTGTCCAGAGTTTGGCTTTGGGTGCTTTGGATAATAGTTTCTTGGTCAATGATTTGGGTGTTCAGGTTTATAGGAACTTTAACCATGGGATTAATTCTAAAGGTATTTGTGTTAAGTTTGATGCTGGCAGTTCGAGGATTGGGGGAAATTCATCCAATTCAACTCCAAAAAAGGGGCTGTTAATGAGGGCCGAGACAAATATGATGCTTATGAGTCCGGCGGAGGAAGGGAAGCCTAATGCTAACGGGCTTAAGCAGGTTGATATTGAGACAGGGAAGATTGTTACAGAGTGGAAGTTTGAGAAAGATGGGGTTGATGTTTCCATGAGAGATATCACCAATGATACGAAAGGGTCACAATTGGATCCATCGGAGTCGACCTTTTTAGGCTTGGACGATAATAGATTGTGCCAATGGGATATGAGAGATCGAAAAGGGATGGTTCAGAACATTGCCACAAGTGATTCACCTGTTTTGCACTGGACACAAGGGCATCAGTTCTCGAGAGGGACAAATTTTCAGTGCTTTGCTAGTACGGGCGATGGATCGATTGTGGTTGGATCACTTGATGGGAAGATCAGGTTGTATTCAAAGACATCAATGAGGCAGGCCAAAACTGCATTTCCTGGACTCGGGTCACCAATAACTCACGTAGATGTCACCTATGATGGGAAGTGGGTTTTGGGTACGACTGATACATATCTGATCCTCATTTGCACACTGTTCACTGATAAAGAAGGGAAGATGAAAACCGGGTTCGGTGGTAGAATGGGGAATAAAATTCCAGCACCCAGACTGTTGAAGTTGACTCCTCTTGATTCGCATCTTGCTGGGAACAATAACAAGTTTCATGGTGGCCATTTCTCATGGGTAAGATCAAGTCATTCCTTCATTAATTGTTTGCAATGATACTGTTTATTACTGTTAGTTGAAGTTTGATGAACTTCGTTTACTGTTCCTCTATGTTTTGATTCTCGTTTGTTGTGAATAATTGCATATCATTTGATGTTTCGTGAACTCAAAGTTTCGTAACGCATTGCCATATTTACATGCTTTAGAAATGCTTAGGCTAGGCCATTGTGCGTGTTTTAAGTTGTGTAAAACAAATGATCTCCTCCATTCTCCTGTGATTCATCAACGTTGGATAGTTCAAATGACCACTGTGTTGCTACCTCTTGTTACATCCATAACGCATGCCATTCATTTACATTCGGATCTGATTCGTGTATCCAACTCTCTGCAGGTTACTGAAAATGGTAAACAAGAGCGGCACCTGGTTGCGACGGTGGGGAAATTCAGTGTGATATGGGATTTCCAGCAAGTGAAGAGCAGTGCTCACGAATGCTATCGGAATCAACAGGGTCTCAAGAGCTGTTATTGCTACAAGATCGTATTGAAGGATGAATCTATCGTCGAGAGCCGATTCATGCACGACAACTTTGCTGTCAGTAACTCACCTGAAGCTCCACTGGTTGTGGCAACTCCAATGAAAGTCAGCTCAATCAGCCTCTCCGGTAGACGATGACATCTGCCCAACACAGTACTTTCCAAAATATATGAAAAAGAAACTCCATGTCATATGCACATTTGTATCCATTGCTCGAGTACGAGTAACATGGGTTTTTAGGGTTTGTTTTGACTACATTTCATGCTTTGTTTATTGTTCAAGAAGCTTGGATTGTTGTGAGAACTGATCTTTAACTTCAAATTTTCCTTTAACAATAAATTTGTTCTTTTACAATTTAGTACTCTAATTTTACTTAATTTGATCATTCGAAATTTTTATATTTATTTATTTTAATTATAAATGCCATATAATTTTAAATAAAATTTAGTTTATTTATTCATCTAGACGAATATGACTTCAAACTTAGCACAAGGGTTTGTTTGGATGTGATTCCTAAGAAGCATCATTTTTTAACTTGAATGTATATAAAGCTTCTCTGTGTCAACCCCACAGGATATATTCTGTATACTTTCAGTTCATCTCCATCTCCTCGAATACTTTCGGGTCTTTCCCATTTCCAGATTGGTTCGTGTTTCCGAGACTCGTAATGCTTAATAACTGCACCCTCCAAGGCCTCTACACTCAAGCTTCCGGACCTGCTCGTCAATGCCGGAAATAAGGATTTCCCAACAATGTACTAATAATAGCTAAAAGAGTAGAGGAGGAACTACTACCTCAAGAAAATGGAGTCCATCTCGAACCTCCCTCGATCTCTTACATATAAATGATACACAGTTTCCGATCCCGTCTCACACTTGCAGGGTCTTTTCTGGATGTCGGGGTTCTTTTCTTCTTCCTCCTCCCGGAAGATGGTTGCCGAGTGAATGCACAAACGGCACGATGAATGAACTGCACTCATATCCAATAGGGCCTTGAAAGAATCCGACGGCCCTTCGTACTTCTACCTGAATCCGCGCATGCAAAAACCGAAGTATAAATAATCCCATCAGCAGAGAAAGCAGGGGAGATGGTATAACTTAACATATTCACCTTAGTGATTGATTATAAGCATCCGCATCTTTTGCAAGGTACTTCATTCTTTCTGCAACCCTCTCATCCCCCAATTCCTCTATATGTAAATGTGAACCAGGAGAAGGAGAGAAGTCTCCGATATTTGAAGCACCTACCACCACAGGTACGCTTCCTACAAAATTTTAATGTTTCCATTAATCCGATGATGAAACCGAAAGCCAGATCATATCGGACTTTCAGGTTCGACACGAAAAACACAAACGGGTATTGGAAATTTCAAGGCCGGATCGAAGTAATGTTAATACCCGCAACAAGGGACTGAATTTTTTTTTCAGTGTCGTAATCCTCCTCGTTGGAGTTCTCGAAAGCCAAGCTAAACTTGTAGCGTTTCAGAGCTTCGACTTTGTTCACTGCGAATTTACACGACATTCGTGACGAAACCTCGGGGAAACATAAACATGGATCGCCTATAGGACACATGCGAATTACATAAACATGAATCACTTATAGTTCACCTTTCTTATCGATGTTTCTAGGGCATTTACCATAAGAATCTATCTTGATATTCTCCTTTTCGAGCCCGACAAGAGCTCGAATACGGAAGTTGCGGGCAGCACAGTTAGAAACGAAAGCAGCTGCAAGGGCTTTTTCGGTCTTTAGAATTACCGGCGCCATGATATCATACTCGGCCCATGAAAAATATCCTACCGGGACATCAGATGAGAGGCTAGTTGTCATTGCATATTCATAACCACTACTAAATCCAAAAGAAAAAGAAAATGGAACAATTAGTCTAACAGGGAAGCATATCGGATGTATGTGTTGAATCTTATAAGTGTATAACCATGTGAACAAGCCTAGATACTCGGAAACATGTTCTTGTTGAAGAAGCATCAGACTAGGTTATTGTCCCACAGATTGTACCTCTGGCCGTCTAGCACAGCACAATGACCCGGTTAAGGATTGAATTGTAAAGTCGGCAAAGCTCGAAGGACCAAATTGACATTGAAGGGTGAATTGGAGGGAATCGAACCCAAGCACTATCCCTTAATGGGGAACTGTTGTGCATCACAGGCATCACTTAATTTGTCTCCATTTCATATTAATTGTACCATTCAACGTCAATTTGGTCCTCATCATTGTTAAACCCTTAATTACATAATCGTATAACGTCTCAATATCCAGAAGTAAATCGCGATAAGTATTCTTTCTTTGGGTCGGGTTGAGTTGGATTTCTGGTCAATTCAACCTAACCGAAAATTATATGCCCTCCACCGAACCAATCCAAAAAATATGCACCTTCATCCGACCGTCTTTTTAATATAAAACTCAAACTCGATCCGATCTGAAATAGTATATTTACAAAAAATATTACTTATATTTAATAAAAAGTAAGAATTTAATTGAAATAAATAATATAGAAAGAGATATTATTGCAATTATCTCTAGATATATAAGGTAAAATTATTTTTCCCCGTGTTGGGTTTCTTTAACCCTAAACCTGAACCCGATCCAACCTGAATCCGATCCAACCTGAATCTATTTTTTAAAAAAAAAAATCCGACATGATAAGATCGGGTCAAAACCCGCCGAGTTAAAGTCCCTTGTTCATTCCTAATCTTACTGGGTCTTTGAATCACGTCCAAAACTCACTAGAGAGCAAGGTAATAAAACCTCAAACATTTCATGATAGTATCGTCCTAGATGGTGGCAAAACGCCTGTTTTCCAAGAGAGATTCACTTTCAATTTGATTGAAGGGCTTTAGAGAGATCAGTGTTGTTTTTTGGAACAGCAATACTTTGACTTTCGATGATTTTTTTGGCAGTGGGAAGTAAGGAACTCGGCATTCGGATTCGAATTGCTTACTCTTTTGATTTTTGAGAAATATGTTCTTACTGGTTTTTTGTTCTAATGCTTGTTCGTTGTTGTTGGGGGATTTTTGGTTTATAGGGTTCAATTGAATAAGGTTCTTTCTCAGGGTTATGATTATGCTCCTTGGCCACTCCAGACTAAAACCGGCAGTTAAACGATCGAAATCGATTGCTTTTAGCATGTAGTAGAATAAGATATGTTTTGACGGATAATCTAATGGAACTCTGTTTCCTCTATCTCGTAAATTCGATCGTATAGCAATCACTCTTCGTGCTTTAGCTTTTTAGCAATATGGGCCATGAAACCATGTTCATATTTCTCTATGTATCTCTGGAATGGTGGCCTTTATCATGTAGTAGAATAAGATATGTTTCGATGAATAGTCCAATGACACTTGAGACTGATGTTTCCTCTATCTTGTAAATTCGATCATATATCAATCACTCTTCATGCTTTAACAATACGGGCCATGAAACCTTGTTTATATTTCTCTATGCATCTCAGGAATGGTGGCATTTATCATGATTCATGTATTAGAACAAGATAAGTTTCAACGAATACGCTGAAGACACTTGAGATCAATATTTGCTTAAATCTCATAAACTAGATCGTATAGCAATCACTTTGAATGGTTAGCAATATCGGATATGAAACCCTGTTTCTAGTTCATGTTCATGTTAATGTCGTAATACAGTTTTTGATGTTAAATAATCATTTTTCTCGTTCGGTTTGTGGTCATTCGGCTTTGACAAATTGGTTGGTTATTACTTCAATTTATGCTCCGCGTTTCTTATCGAGGTTCGATCATTTTCATCTGCGGCAGTTGTTTATTGGCTTCTCGAAACCAAATAAATCGAATATAGTTTTAGCTTTTGATTTGTCAAGTTCATATCATGTTCCCTGCTTCCCGGTTATCCTTGTTGCAATCTTTCAGCATCTGTTGTCACCTACTATTTAATGCTGGAGAAGTGCGGCTCATAATGCATTACGCAAATGCCAAGGTAAGTTCAATATATTGTACTTCAATTCATCATCTCCGTCAACATTATTCGAACAAGTGGGAACTAAATGGTTATTCGGATTGTTGCAGCACCAAGCCTCGGCATATGCTCCAACAGCACAACCATATCCAGCTCCTCCTCCACCACAAGTTCCTCAATATTCGGAGCCTCCTCCAACTTATTCAGCTTCTTATCCACCACCAGCTACAACATACCCATCTCCATCACCATATCCATTATATCCTTCATCCGCATACCCTCATCCATCTTCTGCATATCCTCCTCTGCCTTCCGCATACCTTCCACCACCGGCACCTTCGTCGTATCCTCCGTCTACGTATCCACCAACCTCACCCTATTATCCGCCAGGTAATTTCATACATTTTATGTCTTTTGATGTTACTACTTACACGTTGAATGTAGTACTGAAGTTCGGTTCTGTTCCGCTTTTAAACAGGTTCTTTTCCAGGTCTCTGTCCACGACCACCATACTAAAACCGCCGGCAAGGGGACATTCCAACTCGAAGTTCCTTATGTTCAAATATCTTCAGAAAGGGTTGGGATTATGTCCGAATATCTTCGGAAACAAAAACTTAGAACACTGTTATAGCCATTGTATATTACTGTTTATAAATTTCAGCTTGTGGAAGATTTTTGGTATCTTTTGTTCATTTCTTCTGTTTTGTTGGACTCGATATGTTTTACAACACCACCAACCTAAGCGTATTGAATCGTTAATTAGACAAGAGTCGAGTAGAGTTATTCATACCAACAGGAACATCATCAAGTTCGATCGAGTTCGATCTAACAAACACAACGGCGATGTGTCTGATATTTTAAGAAAAATAAATAGGCCGAGCAACATAATCAAAATCACTAGGCGTGATCATTTGATGAGAATGCATCTGATAGGCGATCCTTCGGAACCAAGCAACCTTAAAGGTAAGCAATGGACGTTATACATTCCAACGGGAACATCATCAAGTTTCAGGCCCTCCACTAGAATGACTTCCTGCATCACATTCAATGATATTGTAAATGATTTTCTGCGAGTGTCGGATACGAGTATGTAAATAGTAACAAAATGTCTCGTTGCTCGAAGGGTCCGGACATGAGTATGTAAATAGTAATCGAATTGATAATTGAGAGACACATACAAGTTCTAAAATTATATGATTTTGAAGAACCATTTCCTTACCCTGCCCTCAAAGAATTCAAGATGAGCTGGAACCGAATAATCGTAGCATGCAGCGGATAAGAAATCGATGCCTGCATTTCCAAGTTCACCACTATGATTACTTTTTTCGCAAGGAAACGGACGTAGCAACACCAATGCACTAATTCAAAATCGAGTAATGCAGAGTTCGGAGCTTAGCTTGTTTGGTTCGAGCAACGAAGTTATGTAACGACATGAAGTTAACAACACACCTCAAAACTCTTTTACCCTAAATCCTACATCTTCATTTCTATACATAAATATGGATACTAAGATATGAAACTCCAAGGATCCTTCAAAAATTACATGTATCAGACACTCGCACTGAAATTCAAGTAACGTAGATCTTACCTACAAGTTTGATGTCGGTGTTCTTTACCAACCACCTTGCCCCGTCCGTCGTAAATCCAACGTAGCTCGAGTCAAACTCCCTTTTAAACATAAGTCGCCTGAAAGTCAAATTCAGGGATCTTACAGTTAAATCAAATTTATGTTAATCAAAACTTTTCATTTATCTTAAATTTACTCCAGTCTTCAACGATGTCCAACAAAAACCAATACATAATCTCAAACTCCATAGAAATGAATTGTGTGTATACATGTTCCTTACATACTCTTATCCTTACCATCAAAACCGGGTAACATAGCAAGTAACTTCCGATATGTACTCGTACTGATACTCACCATCAAATCCAGGTATAAAATAGCATGTAACAAAGTGTTTCAGCGTTGAAGTAAGCTCGGTACCTGTCGGTATTCAATGTCCGGAAAAGAACACGACGCACTCCTTTAGGAATGTTCAAAGACTCCATCACTTGGGCTGCAAAAAGTTAAAGAACAAAACATGATATTGTTAGTTACTATCAGATCATACAAAAAGCTGAACAATTGAACTTCAAATTTAAGAAAAATGGTGCTGGAGATCGGTACCGGTGATGTTACTATCCCTCGGCACATCCACCAACAGAGCTGGCCCTGCGGCAATCAAACATTTACCAAAACAGAGAACTCAGTCCCCCTATTTTTATGGTAAATTATGCATTTAATACCTAAATTATCAGTTTTAGTCCGTTTTAGTATCTAAACTTTCAATTTTTTCAAAACCATACCTAAAGTTTACTTTTTGTTTCATTTTAATATACATTGTTAAAAACTTAATGCGTATAGTACCAAAACTATCAGTTTTTGATCCATTTTAATACCAAAATTTTCAATTTTTCTCAAAACTTTAGTATGATTTAGGTACTAAATGTGTTTTGTTACTTAGTCTCTATTTTTTTCAAAACTTAACGGCGGGTACTAAAATAAAACAAAAACTAAACTTTAGATATGGTTTTAAAATAATTGAAAGTTTAGGAAATAAAACGGAGCAAACCTGATAGTTTAAGTACTAACTTCGTAGATCACCCAATTTTTATTTATAGGAATCCAATTCTTATAAAATCGAGAAGTTAATCGGATAAAATTATTAAACATTGTCATTAAATCGTTGATTTTATTCGATGGATTAGTCAGACCATGGATTGTATACGGGTACTTATTCCAAAAAAGTAGAATACTAACTAGAAATGATTAAATTATAGTAGGACTAAATCACTAAAACAGTATATTATTGGGGTCTTCCATGCAATTTGAACATAAAAATAAGCTCATGGATGTTTAGTTTAGGTTAAACTATGCAAATAGTATCTTTTGTTTAATAATTATTCGATTTTGGTCACCGATTTAAAAATTAAAATTAAATAATTTTTAACATTATTGGTCCGTCAATGTTTACCCTTATCGAATATGTGAATATATAATGGTCGAAAGTACTAAAATCAAACGGATTAATAATGTTAATGACTAAAATCTAACGGATCGATATCGTTAGATACTATATATACTTAATTTTTAAATCGATGACTAAAATGGATCAGAACAAAAATAAAAGTGACTATTCTTATAGTTTACCCATTTAGTTTACCGTTGAGGACTTCAAGATCAAGGGTGTCGACATCGAACCCGGCATCGAAGTAGCGGTCAATCATATGGCCCGGCGCGTCGACGTGGGTGCCGGTATGAACCGACACAAGTTTCATCAAAGAATTATTGGACCGGGAGCCGTTCTTCATACTGAGCGGAAGCCAAAGGAACTGACCCAGACCGTCTTTGCTCCTCCACGACGGCATATCCACGGTGTATCTATGGCTAATATCGAAGATTCTCCCGTCGCCGTAAACTTCCCGTCGGACGGGAACTGGGTTTTCATCAGCCGTGGAAAAAGTGCAGTCCGTCGTCACTGAAGGGTACGCAGGACAAGAATCGGCGGCGATGGCGGCGGGTAAGAGGAGGAGAAGCAGCAGAAAAGACATAGTGTTTTGGCAATTTGGAGAAGTAGATAAAATAATTATTGCAGTAGCTGAAGTCTTAACTATATATAGTGACAGATTCCACTGCTGTAGGGAAATTTGTTGTTCCGAGCATTTGTTTTTAGACAAAGAGTTGAAGGTTTAATTTAATATTTAACCCTCCATCGTACTAAATTTCGCAATTTAATCATCTTATTTTAATTTTGTATAAGAAAAAAAAAGCTCATCTTTGATGTTGGTTTCATTGAGAAGAAATATATTTTAACAAGATTAGTTTAGAGTATATGTCCCACACCGAACCACTAATTAAATTATTTTTATTAAATAAATATGAAAAATAATAATTGTATATCTACGATTAATCTTTTATTATTATTTAATTTAAATTTTAATAAGAGTATAATTAAATTATATTTTTAATTAAAAATTATAATTATTTTATGAATTTTTATTTAAGATTTAAACACTTAATTTATATAAATTTGTATATTCATCCCATCAACAACCATCAAAATCAATCGTTGACAATCCTATTTATCATCGAAAAATTGTGTTCTTCAACATATATTGCCACCAAAGAGCTATACGAAGAGGAAACTAGTTATTTTCACCAAACATCGCAAAACAACTGACTGTCGATTACTTATGTTGTTGCCTTTTGCATTGCACACAATTAGGGGTGTTCGCGGTCGGTTTGAATCGATTTTTGGTTAAAAATTCATACGATCCGAACGTATAAATGTTTACGGTTTGGATGTTTTTAAAAAAAATTCGATCCGATCCAATTAAGTGCGGTTTGATTCGGTTTGGATTTGTGCGGTTTTTGGATTTTAATTTTTCAAAATAATTCAAAGCAACAACACTGCCTAAAGGGTCAAACAGTTTCACCATTTCACATCCTAAGCTAACATCGATCGAATAAATATCGTTGATGAACATAAAAGGAACAATATCAGCTTGGTCACGAGGACTTGCACACAGGTATTGTTTTGTTATTCTCAATCTAGTAATTGAGTTCATGTAGTCTGTTTTGTCGAAAGCTTGGAATTCTTAAGGCGGTGCTTTAAGTCGGGGGTTAATTTCCCTTGGAAACTGGAAATTCTTGATGAACAAACAATGTGCAGGAAAAAATACAATACTTTAAAATCCTTGCATCTAGAATTTGTAAATCGACATAATAGTAGTTAAAAGAATCTCTTGCATTTTCAATAATTTGGTTACAGCTTTAGGGACCTATATTATATATATTCAATAGTCTTAATAGGAAAGTCAACTATACAAGAAATATGAAAACACTTATAGCAATAGATATCGGTTCGGTTCGGATTAGTTTCGGATTTTTAAACCGAAACCGAACCGAATTGATCGATTTTAAAAAAAAACCAAACACACTTAATCGGTTTCAGTTTCTTTCGGTTATCGGGTTTTTAGATCAATTTTCAATTATTTTTTTGATCGAATTAGATCTAAACACCCCTACACACAGCCAACAAATTTCCCTTGTTTTGTTCAAAAATCATTCTCACATGCTTCATGTATATCTGAAAGCCAATGTAAATCTGTTCACCCCACCCAAGTTTATTTTCTCTTTTATTTTACTTATTGTGCTTTAAAATTTTTTAATTTAATCACTAGACTTTGTACATTGAATTTTTTGATTACTCGACCGTTTTCTTATTAACAAAGTGATTACGTAACTTATTCTAGTATTATAATCTGCCACATAAGATTTATAATTTAATAAAATAAAAAATGACATGGCATTTTTTATTAGCTTTTGAATTGTTGATTGGGTTCTTTCATTTCTTCTCCACCATTGAAGTAAACAAAATATTTCATTCTTTCTTCTTCTTCTTCTTCCCTTATCTCTCCATTTCGCTCCTCAACCCCAATAAACTCAGATTTCGACTACCACACCGATCATTATTCTAACCATTGTCGGTCACCTTCGTTGGAGACCCATGACCAAGTACGAGTAGCATAATGTAAATACGTGATAATAAATTGAAGAACTTCTTCGGTACATGAACCACTAAAATCCCCTTTTAATCCCTCTATCAGACAATCGACCTAACTTGTCTAGTTGGAAAATTGAAAGTGCATATTTTAGTTGCACAAAAAATCAATGCCGATTATCATCATTGACAACATCAACTATGCAAAAGCAACATGGAAAAGGCCCTCATTTCCCTCCAAAGCTGTAGCGATTAGATGTTCGGACTGATATTTTGATTTCATGGCCCAAAGCAATAGCATTGTGAGATTGCGATAAAGAAGATTCACACACACGTAGCGGTGTCTCGAGGTTTCAGATACTATCATTATTGCATTTTGGTTCTGTTATCTTTTTTCTAATCAAAAACTCAATCCCAACTAAAAAAGAACCATACCCAATCAGAGCAATCAAAACCCAACAAATTTTTGCTTCGAACAAGATGATGCAAAAAAGGAAAAAATAAAAAAAGATAAGTCAGTCGCCATACCTTAAGAGTGGACACCTAATTCTACAAGATATTTTGAAAGTTGTTTGGAAGAGAATGCCACTGAAGAAGTAAATTGAAGCAACGCAAGAAACAAGAGAAAATCGAAGAATTCGTGATTTCGATTTTTGTCACAACGATGCTGACGTGATAATCGAGATTTAAGTTCGTTCAAGTTGAGGATAGAAAATGGAGAGAAATGGGAAGAGGAGGAAGAAGAAAAAGGAAGAAAAGAAAAGAAATATTTTTTATTTAAACCAAAGCGTCGTTGTTTTGGTCCAAATTTGTTTTTTTTTTCGAGATTCAAAACTACTTTGTTTTGATATAAGTTTCTATGTCATAACACTGTTAAATATTTAACGACATAGTGACAAAAAATTCAATGTATAAAGTTTAGTAATTAAATTGAAAACGTTTAAAATACAGTGAGTGAAATATGAGAAAAAATAAAGCTTAGTAAAAACATTTGTAATTTACCCTAAAATTAATTCTGATTTCCTCTTCAATTCGTCGTTGTTGTAGGTTCAGCCTCGGCAGCTGGTTCGTGGGTGGCTCCGCCTTTGAAGACACTAAAATTTAATACCGATGCTGCCGTGACTGGTCAGTTTGATGAAGCTGGCATTGGGGGTATACTTAGAGATTATCAGGGAGTTTCATTTTTTTTTTGTTTCTCAAAATCCATCGGTTTGATGGATCCAACTGGAGCTGAGCTGATTGCTCTATTGGAGGCCTGCACTGCTTTCTCTTCTTGCAGGTGGTATTCTTCTTATAGTCTCATGCTAGAATCCGATAGTTTCTTTGGCTGTGTCTTGGATTGTCAACCCTCCTATTACCCCTTCGAACTTTAAAGATGTTGATTTTTGGTCGTGATCAAGATTTCCTTATTGGTTGATTTTTGGTCGCTTTGCTGTAAAAACTGTCATGGGATGCGAAGTGATCGGTGTTAATTTGATTAGGCTTAGTTTTGCTTTGAATCTCGGTTTCTCATGGTTTAGTCTTCTTCTTTGTTTCTAGCTTTGGATTGTGGTGATGGCTATTATGATTGTTGTGTTTGAAGGGTTATCAGCTCTACTGGTTTGGGTTCTCGCTCTGGGATTTGAAGCATCTTGTTTTTGTTGGTTCTGGGTTGCTAACTTGTTTCTAGTTTCTTTGGCTGTGTCTTGGATTGTCAACCCTCCTATTACCCCTTCGAACTTTAAAGATGTTGTTTTGCGGTGCAAAAGCTTCGTTAACAGATTTTTGTGAAAGATTTCCTTTGTTTGCAGAGAAGGCAATTGTAAAGCTAATCAACTGGCGAAGAGTGGTATTAGTCGTGATCAAGATTTCCTTATTGGTTGATTTTTGGTCATTTTGCTGTAAAACTGTTATGGGATTCGAAGTGATTGGTGTTAATTTGATTAGGCTTAGTTTTGCTTTGAATCTTGGTTTCTCGTGGTTTAGTCTTCTTCTTTATTTCTAGCTTTGGATTGTGGTGATGGCCATTATGATTGTTGTGTTTGAAGGGTTATCAGCTCTACTGGTTTTGGTTCTCGTTCTGGGATTTGAAGCATCTTTTCCTGGCTTGTTTTTGTTTGTTCTGGGTTGCTAACTTGTTCTTCATTAAGTATCGCTGATCCTGAAGCTTTTGGCTCTTGATAATCTTCTCGGATAGCTCAAGGGATGTCTAATTTCGACTATGTGGGGTCGAGTCTGCTTGAACTTCTTGTTTTCCTTCAGTAGGCATTTTCTTTTGTTTTGGATGGTGGCTTTTAGTAGTTCGTTGGACATGGTTATTATTGTAGTGGATTTTGCTTTTGAATTGAAATAATATTTTTTAGCACTCTTTCCCCCCTTCCGTTGGTTTGATTGATTCGATTCTATTAAGCTATGAGAGAGTTTTTAACGAGAATCCCCTTCTCTCTTTTTTTTTAAAAAAAAAATTTGTTTTGATTCTGTTGAGGACGTTAGTTACCTTTTTCATTCGTCGATTTCATTAAGTATAGATTAGTGGACAATGGAACTTGCCACTTGTATTTTACCTTACAAATTTTCAGTGGTTCGATAAAAAAATGCATAAACTTGGATGTTTCATGCTATATCTTGGGCTTCATTGGCGAAATTTGTATCGTTGATGCTTTCCCGGTGAAAAGTTAAAGCAGTTATATTTACTGTTCTTTTTATTGTTAATGATTGACTTCGCATCTTGGGGGGCTTCATGCAGCTTATATTTTTTATGTTCTTTCTAAATCGCAGCAAGGTACGAAGGAGCCGATAGCACGATGGCATTTTTTCACCTTCTTGGGTGCTGCAATGTTTTTTCTAGAATTTTTTATGTTTTGCTTGTGGCCATGAGCTATGCGACATTTGGTGAAGGCAAGACCGGTTTCCTTTTGGTGGCCGCGGTATAGGTTGAATAATGTGATTTTCCGGAAAAGATGGGTCGCCAGCAGTGGTTTTGATGGTTGCTCTAGGATGATTTTACAAACTTAAATAAGTTAACTGCTCCGATCCTAAACAAATAATTTTTTTTTAAAATAATTATAATTTTAATAAAAAAATATAATCTTTTTATATTGCTATCAAAATTT